ATTGGTTGCACAACGAACGGTAATATGTTAATGTCCGAAATACACATGCAGTATTTAAATAATATAATTAAAGATAGCAAAAATTACAAAGACATATTAGACTCTATTGAAAATAACAATGAAAATTCAGAGAGTGAAACTTTTTCTGACGATTTTTCCAAATATGAAGCAGACAATAACACCGATTGGGTAAAATGGAGCATTTCTGTTCTGAATTCGTTCAAAAAAATTGTGTAAGATTCGAAAGATGGTAACATTATCAACGCTTGTTACAATCCCGATTTTACCGAACAAATTAAAAAACATTTACTATTTACCTATATGAACGGGTATAATGCATCCATTCTTTAAAAGATCTGATGAAATCGTTGCATCTTCTTCCGCCGAAGCAAAGATTTAAAAAATCGTTGCTTTAAAGATCAACTTCCTATGAGAGATAAATTCGTCATCCAGCACTTAAACTTACTTTTCTTAAATACTAAAATAACGCTGGCTTCTAATGAAAATGACATTACTGAGACCAACAATATACCATCGTGACGGAATGATCTTATACAAAATATGTCACCTTATGAAGATAACGCAATAAAAGTCGATACCTCAGACAATCTCACAAATTCAGACATTTCTATAAAAAAGTAAAATATAAAGTTTATAAAAAGTCTATGACCAATGAAAATCATGAGATATCCATGTCTATAAATTCTTCTGCAACTACTATTCATAATATCCAAAATGTTTCTCATGCTGCCGTGAATAATACTAGCAAAAATATAATCGAATGCGATTCGAATGATACATTCTTCTGTCAAAGAAAATTCAAATGATACAGGGGATACTAATAAAATCGATTGCCTGTGGAATGTTTCTGAAAATTGACATGGCTTGGTAGGTTCAACCATCGAACAAGAAACTCCTATTTAAAAAAAGAGCTAAGCCGTCTTATTTAGATATGCCTCGAATGGGATTATTTAAAAAATATAAAACCTTTCAATTTGCCTCTCTTATCATGAATGGCAATAAATGTAAACCAATAAAAAAAGGATAATCAATGATGACTATACAAGAAACGTGCGCATTCGATTCTCTTTTGCAACTTGTTGCAAGTGGAATCGCAATACATGCAGCATACAGAAATTTAATTCAATCATCAGATGATATATTTTGATTGGCAAAATCCCTTCCAAAGGATGATAAAATATTTTCAAAATATTATTATATTATGAACGAGCTTCGATTTTGCAAAACCTATCACTTTTTCGTAATTTGATTAAGTTTTATATACGAAGCATTAAGCGACTTAATGCTAATTTATATAATGCTGCACACTTAGCAGATTATCTTTTTCAAAATGAGCCTAGTTGTACAACTACAAGTACAATAACTTGTGCTTGTGGCGTTAAAGAATCACGTCGAACAATAACATTGAATGTCAATGTCGATATTTTTTTGCAGGAAAGTTTGCACTGTATGCAACGTGCTATCAATGATGTTACAAACGTGAAAAATTCAATGTATCCTACATGTGGTACTTCAAAAACATATTGGAATATTTATGGAAATCATATAATAATTGATTCATCTATTTTTACAGATTATCGTTACAGTAACCGACGTATAGATCTGAAGCATACACTAAATAGCAATCACAAAAACTATCACTTTAGGTAATATTAAATATATTTTAACAGGTATCTTTCATTATTCGCAATATGGAGATCGAAATAATGGGTATTATATTGCCTTCGCGTTAACACGATGGTATAAATATAACGATTTAAATAAAAAGCGTGAAATAGCAAACTGTCTGGAAGAGATTAGGCCACACGTAATATTATCGTCAGATAGAATTAAATATAAAGCATGCAAATATTTTATTTTAAATACATATACTACTTTAATTCAAATATTCTTATAGTTTTATATAATATAATTATATTAAAAACATTATTGCGCGTAAAAAAATATACATTACACTAAAATTAAGTTTAATTCTCACTAAATAATTTTATTTAGCTTCTGTGCGTTTTATAATAAAAGAATAAAAAAAAATAAATGCGTAACTTCTGAGTGTTTTATAAAAAAAAAATTTCTCCTTAAATATTATCTATGCGCTTTCTTCTTGATGAAAATACTACAATTTCTATTAAGCATTTCATTTTGCAAAACATATAGTCATACATTACGCCTTATTTTCATTACTTCTTATAATAATAAAAAAAATACTGCATGTGTGCGTCTAGTAAATTTCATATAAAAAAAAAATGATTCCTTAATTATTCATGCACCTTATGTTTGTTCTATTATAAGTTTATGAAAGTTATTACAATGTCTGTGAAGCATTTTGTTTCGCAAACTATATAGCCATACATTAAGTTCTAATTTTCAATATGTAATTTTCAGTATGGAATTATTTTTATTAAACAATAAATGTCATTACGTGGTCGAAATTTAAAAACGAAAAGATAAAAACATAAATCACAAACTTCAGAAATCGTTAACAATTATATTTGATTACACAACATTATAATCTAATTTCACATAATTCAATACATAAACGTTTCAGCCTTACATTAGGCTATTTTCAGTATATAATAATTACAAAATATTTAAAATATTTAATTTTGCAATTTTAAACGATTTAGGGATAAATATGACTGTTCGCTCCAAGAGGGAAGTGCCTTAAGGGTTGCAGCGCAAAAATCGAAAATACTTTAAAGTAATAGCACATAAATAGCGCATAAATCTTGTGTATTTGATTTTTCAAATTGATTGTTTTTAACGGGTGGGGGGGGGGGGCTGACTGACTGCCTACTCAGTCCCCACAAAATTTTTTGTTTGTGGATATGAATAGCGCATAAATAGCGCATTATTTCATAATTTTTTCGTTAAAATTTGGTTAAGTGGAGGGGCCAGCAGACGTATATAAAAAATTAAGCCATAATATATACATTCTGATAAATCGCAAATATGGAAAATGTGTCAATTAATCATAAACTAAAATGTATATTCACTATGACGAATCAACACTGAGAGAGGTAATGACATTACATTGTTAAACAGATATCTATAAATAATTAAAACTGCATCGTTGCACATTTCCAATGTCGTGACTAAAAGTTACACGTACAAAATTTGTTGCTCGCATGTTTTTAGTATCAAAATGTTCCTTGTAACATATTATCAAAATATATCCATTTCCGATTTTGTCGCTAACTCTGACACATGAAAAACAATTAATTTATCGGGATCAGCGCTTGCGCCGAACTCAAAATTCCCTTAAACATTATTTAAAGAATTTGTTGCTCGAAGAATTTGTTGCTGCATGTTTTTGATATCAGATGTTCTTTGTAACATATTCTATCGAAATATATCTACCAAGAGTATATATTTTTTCCGATATTCACTGTCAGTACTGAAAATCTATAGCGCACGTAATGTATACTGTATAGTTTCAGCATTGACAGTGCATATCGGAATACACTCCAAATACAAATTGTGCGAGTAACAAATTCTTTAAACAATGTTTAAGATAACTTAGAACTCAGCGCGAGCCCTGATCAGGATAAACTAATTATTTTTTATGTGTCAGAATTAACAACAAAATTGGAAATGGGTATATTTTGATAATACATGTTACAAGGAACATTTTGGTACCAAATACATGCGAGCAACAAATTTTGTATATGTACTTTTTGTCGTAACGCTGAGACACATAACGGTGCAATTCTAATTACTTATAGATATTTGTTTAATAATATAATTTTTTCGATATGTTTTTGCACTATCTTGGAGCAACAAAAAAGCAACAAAATCTGATGTATTTTTTTTTATATCGCAGCTTTACATATATTTTTTATAGGGACAGGGAGGTCAGCTTGCTATTAACCTGAATCCCCCCCCCCCCCCCATTTTTTGCTGTTAAACAGTTGAAGCAACAAAATCCTCTGGAGCAACAAATTAGCAAAATTTTTGACTAAATGTTTTACTGTCCCAACTTTGCACTGATGGGTGATCCAAGTTAATAGGGGTTCTGCATTACTGGATATGCTCCACGATGAGATTGCTGAATGGATTTTGTACATCGTATTTCTGCGTGTGTGTAGATTTTGCACATCATGTTTTTGCGTGTAAATTTCAGTAACGCATGTTGCCTCCGCTCGACTGCTAGTCGATTCCTCATATTAATGCAGGTTCTAATTTCTTCCTGCGGAATGTCATTCCAGATTTGTATTAGATATTGTAATGGGTCATAGATTAAGAGATTTGGCAAGACAATCTGTAAATCTCAGAGACTTATCACAAGCTCTAATACAAATCTAGAATGATATTCTGTAGGAAGAAAGTAGGGCCTGCATTAATATGAGGAATCGACTGCAAGCAGTAATCGAGCAACGCGGAAGCAACACGCGTTACTGAAATTTACACGCAGAAACAATGTGCAAAATCTATCCTCGTCGTGGTACATATCCAGTAATGCAGATAATGTCGGTAATATATGTAAGAAATTCAAGAATAATTTTAAAGTGCTGTAACTTTGCAAAAAAAATCGTAGCAATTCTTTTTTTTAAATTAAAAGAGAAAGTTTGAACTTTACGCCATTGCAAATAGCACTCCCCCAAAAAATTTTACAAAGTGTATTTTAATTATATATTCAGTGAAACTTTTTAATTTTTAAACAATATGACAAACACACATCTTCATATTTTCAGAGTTACAGTGATAGGGATGCATCAAACTTAAAATCTGGCAACGTTTTAAAGTAGAGATTTCAAGCTTTAATTTAAAAAAAAATGTTATCCTACAAGTTTTTCGCAAAATTATTGTTAATCAAAGTTGACCAATTTTTTTCCCAATTTTTTACAATTTCTGTATGCCACAATTTTTTTGAGCAGTGTAGTATATATGTATAATTCACATTGAATTATTTAAGCATTAAAGAGCCAGCTCTTCAATTGTTATGGGCTTTAATATGTTAATATATTACTCTCGATCCACAGGGCAAAACAACACTTTTTTTGCCAAATTCGTTCATTTCATTCAAGAACGCGTCGAGCCTAATTTCATCAAAATTGAGAAAGGTAAAAATTTTAAGTATTATCTAAACGTAGTAAGAATAGACCGAGCATGTTCTCTACTTTGACATGAAGATTAGGTAGAAAAGAACAGAAAATAGATGTGTAATATTCTCTCTCTCTGTTTGTGCGTGCACAATGACATATAATCACGTATATATACACGTACATAGGACCTTAACTTATAATCTTAAAACAGTATCTTATGACTTAAGTCTTATGTCTTTAGTAACACAAGAACTGTCTTACGACTAATTTCTTAAAGGTAGTATTACGTCCTGCCAAAAAAAACCAATGTGAACCTGGCGCTTTGTCAAAAATAAAAATTAATACCGTAGCGTGTTTGTACTTCGTTTGTACTTCAAAGGAAATATTCAGAGATACAGCGTTTTTCAAAATTTCGGAAATGTGCCAAGAGAGGAAGTCAGCCATTCTAAAAGCTATCAAAACAAGACCAATGGCATTCGAAAGGGAATCGTTTGTACCCCTTTGTACCTTTTTTATTTTTCATTTGTACATCAAACGATTCAGAAAACAGTGTTTTTCAAAATTTCGGAAATGCGCTAAGAGAAGAAGTCGGTCATTTTAAAAGATATGAGACCAACGGTATTCGAAAGAGAATTGTTTATACCCGTTTGTACCTCTTTTATTTTCGTTTTTACCTCACAGGACTCGGAAATAGGCCGACCTAATCTCTTGGTGCATTTCCGAAACTTTAGAACGTTGTATCTCCAAGCCCTTTGAGGTACAAACGAAAATAAAAGAGGTAAAAACAATTCTGTTTCGAATGCCGTTTTGTCGCATTTTGATATCTTTTAAAATAGCTAATTTCCCAATGTGATAGTTGCGCAAAAATTGAAAAGCGCTGTATCGCCGAGCTCTTTGAGGTACAAATGAAAATAAAAGGTACAAATGGGTACAAATCGTAACGATTCTCTTTCGAATTCCGCTGGTCGCATCTCAATATCTTTAAAGGATATGGTCAATGTGATGCTATAAATGCTTCAAAGCATTTGTAGCAAGACTTTGACCACAGCCTAAAAAGGCTAATTTTCCAATGTGGCGATTGCGCAAAAATTGAAAAGTGCTGTATCTCCGAGCCCTTTGAGATATAAACAAAAATAAAAGAGATACAAACAGATACAAACGATTCTTTTTCGAATGGCATAAATGAAATCAGAAAATCTTGAAGTTGCGCTTGGACATTTTTTATTTTTCACTTTTTATAATATTTAACTGTTTGAGGTACAAACGAAATAATGATCGATACAAACAAAAAATAAACGCGCTATGCGGTATTAATTTTTATTTTTAATAAAGTTGGGCGCCAGATTCACATCGGTGTCCTGTCATCTGTATAAACAGAATTTTCTTTTTTTCCTCTCGCTATATTTTCTTTGATTACTTGGTTTACATCTATAAAATATTTTAGTAGTTCAAGCATTTACGTGAATATTCCATGTGAAAACTTATTCGAATAAGTCGTATTGCTCTCTATTACGCGTGCGTTGGCTAACACAATCGAATTACTCGCGAGGCGCGTGCCGCGTGTCGATATCGAACAACGAAATTCCCGGAAGGGATAATTCCGTCCGGAGATGAGGAAATTGTTCCTATGAGCCAAGGTCTTTATTTGTTATTCTATATAAAAATCAGCAAGAATTTACAGGTATTTGATTTCAATCCTTGTAATCACTCGAAATAAGCGTCGATTGTCGCGCACCAATCACGGCCCACGCGCGTGTCGCTCATCGCTCGAATTCCTATATTTACGATATTTCAGTTGTACAGGCTAAGAACGTTTATTATTTTGTAGTTCTGTATCATATTTTTTACGTTTCTATTCAGTTCATTGTTTTTGTTTTTATCATTATAATTACTTTATACAAGCCTGAGATAAGCAAATGCGAATTAATCGTGTTTCGCGCGAAGCGCCTGACGTGCGCCGACCAGTTAAGATCTTGAAAAAGAACGGGCCAAAACAAGAGAAATAAACTAGTTAATAACCTTGAAACTTTATAAAATAACAAGAAATCGATTCAATTTTTCGAATTTGCATAAAATTAGTTGCTTCCGTGCCAAATTTCAGCTTGGTACGACTGATATTTCTATGGGAAATTCAATATCCAAATTTGACAACGTATTGCGAATTCTTCTTCGAAGAAAATCGAACCCCCCTTTCCTCCCGACTTGCGAGTACCACCAACTTGCGCCTATATATGAGCGACAAAAATCGAGCAGATCGATTATATTGATTCAGTCCTAATCTATTATATATACGGAGCGGGACACGTCGAGCCAGAAACAAGAAAGAGCTTATAATATCACAAACAATATAAGAATTTTGAAAAAGTATGCACGTCTGTTCTCTTTCGCTCTGCTTTTTCTCCTACCTTAAAGGGGATGACCGCGTTCTTCTCCAGGGCTGCGCTCGTAAGAGCTGCTCAGTTCTTCCCTTCTCAAGGGCTGACGCGCTTGTATTTAGAAGCTGCTCAATTCTTCCTTTCACACATTATCCAGTTAACTTACATTGATTTCTACTCTCTAAGTCTCGCGAAATGAAATCTCACTCGAAGAGACTGAAAATTTAGCCAGTTTTGAAAAAAGAGTGACAATATGGCTATTCTTCAAGAGTGGTAGATTTTCACTCTTTTTAAAGTGAGATTTACTCTTTTGGAGTGAATCTCATTTCAAAAGAGTAAATATTACTCTAAAAAGAGGGAAAACTGCCACTCCTGAACAAGAGTGATCATATTTTCACTCTTTTTTCAAGACAGGTTAAATTTTCAGTCTCTTCAAATAAAATTTCACTCTATAAGATTTAAAGAGTAATTAAAATAATTGCAAACGGTGTCGGTAAATAAATTTTGCTTTTCCATAGAATGACAAAGAGAGGTAACCGCGCAGGTAGGCGGATGCAGGTAACGAAGCTATACAAAAGATTGATAGCTTCTGAGAAGTTTGACTCCTCCGTTTTCCTCGGGATCCCTCCGGAATCACGCCATGGCCCAGCAACTCACGGCTCCCTCCGTTGGAGCATCTCTTGCCCCTTCACGATTCTAAGATCACTACTGAAGAACCGCGATCTGCAAGGAATTAAACGCCAAACAGCATCACGAAGGCCAACTTCTCCGGTCCTTGCCGCCGAGCCACGCGCCTCTACGGCCGTTTCTTGTCAAGTCCCGAAGGCCCTCAAAATCTCGCGACGACCCCCTCAAGTCGTGTCTAATATCCCCGTCAATAATTGGACGGTAACCCACGTACCAGCAAAATATGTAGTGAATAAAAGTGTAGAAATATTTAGCGCCCTACTGAAATATACGAAATGATGAAAGGGCTTGAATTATTCGGATCAATTATAAATTTTCTTGTCCAAAGAACGTAATTTACTTGAATCAATTGAATGTTTCCTATCTCAGAAATACGAACGCTAAAAGTCGAGTCGAACACTACATTCTGATAAAATAGAATAACTAATTGTGTTAAGACATCATCTTGATTCTCAAAGATATCAAATCTCAATATTAAAGGGTTCAAATGATTAATATTAATTCTCAGTAATTTTACTCAATTAAATAATCTTTAAGAATCCTGTAGCATACACCGGCACTTGCAGTCTCACGGGTTGCCGCTCGGCCTGAGACTTGCCACCACTCTAATCGTACCTCTCCCTCTAATAAACAATTCACCACTCTTCCAACCCCATCACACCCACGCGTCGTGCCGTACCGCTTATCTATCCGCTCTCTACTCGGCAGTGACGCAGCAGACATCACATAATTTCAATTTTCATATATAATTTAAAATGTTACACCGCAAGACGTGTATAAGGCATCTCGTATTTATCAAGAAGTGAAAAGTTATTTTTTAAAAGTAACAAGTTACCAAATAAAAAAAGTAACAAGTTTCCGTAATAATAAAAACTAATAAAAACTTAAGGAAATTTGCCAATGTGAGCCTGCACAAGATGTTCAATGTAATAATAATGATTCATATATTCAGACGATTAAAGCGAACAACCTTTGTATTTTTTGCAAAATAGAAAAAAATCACTGCACGAGTTTCGTGCAGTGATCAAACATCTACATATGAAAGGTTTAAAGAAGAAGACCGAAAGAAATCAAAGCCGAATTGGATAATGTTCATAGCACATCTGTACCAGCGTTGCGACTGTATATAATTGGGTGAATGAATTTAAACGTGGTCGTACATCCACATGTGATGCACCTCGTTCGGGACATCCAATTGAGGCTACGTCAGAAATCGATAAGGTTCACGATATTGTTTTGACTGATCGACGAGTGAAAGTGTGCGAGCTTGTTGAAGCCACAGGCATATCACATAGCACAGTGATTATAATTTTGCACGAACAATTAGATACGAAAAAGCTATCGGCAAGATGAATGCCGCGTTTGCTCACTGTGGACCATAAGCGCGACCGTGTGACGATTTCAAAACAATGTTTTAATGTAATCCAGATGAATTTCTGCGTCGATTTATTACGATGAATGAAATGGAACTATTACTTCACATCCGAGACGAAGGAACAGTCAAAACAATGGACACCGAATAAATCAGCTCCGAAGAAGGCGAAGACCGTAAAATCGGCCGGAAAGGTGACGGCCACAGTTTTTTGAGATGCACGCGGTATAATTCATATCGATTACCTTCCATCGAAGCAAATGATTAATGGCGATTATGCAACCTTATTGGATCGTTTCAATAACATTTTAAAGAAAAAACGTCCCCATTAGGCGAAGAAGTGTTCTTCCATCAAGACAACGGGTTCACACGTGCCCAATAGCCAAATTCAACGAATTCCGCTACGAAATGCTTCCCCATCCAGCATATTCGCCAGATTTAGCCCCTTGCGACTATTTCCTGTTTCCTGAAGAAATGGTTTAGAGGAAAGAAATTCACCACCAGAGAGCAGCTCATCGCCGAAATAGTAGCTTATTTTAAAGGGTTGGACAAATCATATTATTCGGACGGCTTGAAAAAGTTGGAGAATTTCGTTGGATCAAGTGTATCGAGCTGAAAGGAGACTATGTTGAAAAATAAAAATGAATCGATCAAAAAAAATGTTTTACTACGTTTTTCTAAAAACTTATTGACTTGCCCTTGTATTTCATTACTTTTTCCAAAAAAATTGTCAAAAATCAGAGACCAAAACACTTTCCCGACTAGTCACAACTGCGACTTTCACATTTTTGTCTGTGTGTCTTACTCTTAGAGCATACACTAATGGAACGAGCAAACTATGCTGAATAGTAATGCAAGCAAGTAAGACAGAAAGGGGAATATTTGATTGTGGTGTTTTTTCTGTCATTGTCAGGAGTGTTCGTAACGAATAGGGATTTTGTTATTAACAAATTAGAGTAAATATTTGTTTTATACTTTTCGTTAATTTACCTGTGAAATGATATGTCCCAATATAATTTATTATCGTCTGTCGCTTTACACGTGGGAATCAAACAAAAGGCTGACATTTTGTAATACTTTATGATGTCAGACAGGGATTTCGTATTTTCCTACTGTCACTGAACAGGGATGGGACCTGACGAGACAATAACAAATTAAGGAAAAGAGAGAGATCATTACTAAATATCTCCTTTTTTGTCTTACTTACCGGCTCGGCTTACTTACTCGCCAGTTCATTATGTAAAACATAGACGATGCTTGTTCCATTAGTACATGCTCTAAAATCTTACCCTACGTCGCTATGTCTCGTTACGTCTCGTTACATCGCATTCTCTGCCATAGCTCTAACGTATTGGGAGTACAAATTAGTTCGGTCCGTTTTTTTGTGTTCAAAAATGCATTTATTTCAAAACAAAATGAATAAACAGATTAATTAAAGATTATTGTCCATCGCTGGCTACTACTTTTTCCCATCTCTCAGGCAATTTTCGAATTCCATCTCGAAAAAATGACTCGTCTTTGGAGGCGATCCAATTTTGGAGAAGTGAACCGGTGACTTGCCAAATCGTGCTGCATCCTTCGGAACAATCAGTAATCAGAAGGAGTAATGTCCGGAGAATATGGCGGGTGCGGTAAAACATCTCATTTGAGCGTTTCTAAATATTTTTTTACGACTTTTGTGACATGAGACCGAGCGTTTTTTTCGCAATGTATGGCTCAAACGAATCAATTGTAGCCGATACCGATCGCCCGTAATGGAATCGCCAGGTTTCAGCAGCTCATAGTAAACAACATCCTTTTGGTCCCATCAGATACAGAGTATGATCTTCGAACCATGGATGTTCGGCTTTGGTGTTGATGTTAAGGTTGATGGCAACGATTGACCGGGTTTAGTGTAGTATTTTTTCTTCTTGGGATTGTCGTAGAATATCCACTTCTCATCTCCAGTCACAATCCGATGCAAAAAATCTTGTCTTTGTATCAGCTGTTCGCAAGTGAAAAATCGCCTTTCAACGTCTCTCGGTTTCAGTTCATAAGGCACCCAATTTCCTTGTTTTTGAATTATTCCCATAGCTCTCAATCGTGCAGAAACGGTTTGTTGAGTTACTCCCAATGATTCTGCAAGATCCTCTTGCGTTTGACTCTGATCTTCTTCGAGTAATGTCTCTAATTCTTTATCTTCGAATTTTTTTGGCTGTCCAGAGTGAGGCTTGTCTTCAATGCTAAAAATCTCCATCCTTGAAATGTCGAAACCATTTTATACATGATTTATTAGTTGGAGCAGTGTCATCATAAACTTCGACATTCGATGGGCTTCAGCTGCACTTTTCTTCCAATTAAAGCAGAAAATTAGAACCTCCCGCAAATGCTGCTTGGTTAACACAAAATTCGACATTTCAAACACAGTAAAAATCAAGGTTTTTGTATGAAACTCAAAGCGATATAAACTGAATATTATTAGCAGATGTCTAACCTCTCTGAAAACGCCAAAATCAGCTGTCACTATGAACCATTCCCAATGCTGGAGCAATGAATAGCCGGAGCCATCTTTTGGAAAACGGACCGAACTAATTTGTATTCCCAATACAAAAACTTATGACTTATGTCTTAAAGGTGTATAAATACGAAGTGCCTTTAAGACATAAGTCATAAAATAGTTCTTGTGTGTTACTATGCCTTTAAGACATAAGACATTGTCTAATAAGATTATAAGTCAGCTTTCTGCTAAGGTAGGACAAAAAGGCTCAACAGAAAGGCTGATTTATAATCTTAGCACTCTACAATAAACCATTAGTAATAAAACGGAAGTCAAAAGCTAGAAATTGATCAATCATAGTCAATTATTCTTCTTATATTCGATTGTGATTGATCAATGTTTAGCTTCTGACTTATGATTTATTACTAATGGCTTATTGTAGAATGGCTATAAGTCAATGTTTTATGACTTATGTCTTAAATCTTAGTAAGGATCTTAGTCTGGATCTACAATAGGTGTTTTAAGCCTTAAGCTGTAAGAATTGCCATAAGAATTGAAATATTCAATCTCCAATTATTCAAATAATTAACTATGAATAATTAATTATGATTTGTTCATTTCTTATGGCTTAAGGCTTAAAAACCTATTGTAGATCCGGGCTTAGCAGAAAAATTGACTTATAATCTTAAAAGTGTCTTATACATTTGATAGAATCCTATATTTATAAGAGAAGCGCGATCGACTTATGTCAGTATCGCAAAAGTACTAAAAAGTAGAAGAAGTATTAAAAATTACCCTTGATACGAATTATCTTTAAATTACCTCGGATTAAGCTTACCTAATAATACTTCAAATTATTCCAAATTAGTCGAACACTATCTCATATTATCCAAGATTATCTTATCGTTAGAGTATTTAAAATTACGTTATATTTTCTGAGATTACTCAAGATTTTTCCTTTACTTTACTAAGATTTACCTTATACGAAGTACATAAAGTATTATTTCTTCAGATTACCCTAGAATATCTGTATAGATCATTATGATTAGTATCTTCGAGAACATTGATTTTAGATTTTCACTGCTTAAAAAAAACGCAATTTTGCAAAACAAATATTTATTATATACAGAAACACAAAATATAAAAATTTCGTAAATAGAATATGTATTATATGTATAGATAGTAACAAATTCGATCATACTTAAGATTTTTTAACCTTTAGAAGGCCAGACTGGCCTCGTGGATTCCTCGTGACATAAACATTCAATATATACATGAATTTTACATTTAAAAAATTTCAAAATTTCAAAGCAATGCCGGCCCTCTAAAGATTAATATTAACAAAACAATATCCAATTGAATATAAATATTAATTAAAGTATTTTATAAAATAATAAATATTTTTAAAAAAACATCAATGATAACACACTCTTTGTTAAACAATACAAACATCAACTTAGTGTTAATTTAAAAATTTTGTGACTAATCAAGTTAGATATAAATAAAAAGGGACATTTGTGAAATAAATCTCTGAAAATTCTTATATGTATGTACTTTAACATTATTAAAGTCCTGACATAACAAAAATGTTTTTTTTAATTTTTTAAATTGTTTTATAATCAGTTTCCATCAGATTGAGAAATAGTTAAAGGATTAGTCATCTTGCATATTAATAAAGCCATAAAATATATATCTATTCTCAATTTCTTGAATATCATCTTTTCGCAGTCACTTAAAAACTTTTAAATGTTGGAACAGAAATTTTATTATATTTTAAACATTTGACTAGTATAGTATTATAAAAAAGTACAAAATGCTTGTCATTTGATGTTCACTAACTTCAAAAACTCGAAGATTACCTTAGATCAAATGATTATCTGAGATTGCTTTAAGAATATCTACAATTACCTACAGATTACTTGATATTACCCTCAGATTACTTAGGATTTTCTATTAGATTATGCAAGATTACCTAAAAACACTAAAAATTATTTAAATTTATCAAAAATTATCAAGCCCTTGTACAAAAATTACTTCAGTGACAAACCTCTTGATTAAAACATTCTCCACAATGCAAATGCAACATTTTGTGATGCATTATTTTAAAATACTAATTTTCTTATAATCTTACTCAGCCATTAATCTTATAAGCTTACCAGACTCTGCCACACTCAACTATTTCTCTATTTTTTTCTCACATCGCACTTTCTCCTAGAAAAACAAAGCTATACGGCACCTATCGTCCGTTTCTTTCTATGTGGGTCCAATTTTCGAAAAGTATCACATATGGAAAACTTTGAAAGTGCTATAATATATATAACGCATACTATAGTATTTTCCTAATTTTTCGTATACGATACTTTTCGATAATAGGAGCTCTGAAGACCTATTCTATAATTTTTAACGCAAATTTCGTTATAACGCCCCTGCGCAGCTTTTTTACCAAAGAAAAGAGCTGCGTAGCAGCGTTATAATGATAACGAAATTTGCGTTGAGAGTTAGAGAATAGGCCTACTGATCTTCACGTTTCGAATCTCACGCTCTGTCTATTCTTATTATGTCTATGAGTGCTATTTGTGTCATTTTATCTTTATGATAAAACAAGAATAGAATGACATAAATAGCCTAATAGCGTCTCCCCAAACGCACCTTTTGTTATCACTAACAGTTACCCATGTGAGTCGTATCCAAGGCGATGGGGTTTCGTTCCCGTTTCGGTGTCCGAGTCGTGGCAAAGCTAAGGCCGTGGAAACAGTTTCTTAAACAGCAGAACATCGTTCGCAATCGTTGAAGTTTCACGTTCACAGAGTCACTTAAAAATGCGGCGTACACGACATCGTAAGCCGAGAGAAAAGCTTTTCTTTTCCTCTTTTTTTTCCTTTCAATTTGGATCGATCCAATATTTCTATTATTTGATGATATATACACAGAATTCATTCGTAAACTCACTGCGCATTAATGCGAAACACTATTCAAATCTACGTATAAACAGGCTACATTAAAATGGCTTCCACTCGAAAGATCACAACCAGCCTTCAATGTGTGGTATTTATTTTGCGGTTCTTCTAACCATCTTCACGTTTAACGGTAAAAATAGTTTTTCAAAATGCTCGTAAGTTTCATAACTTGACATAAAATCCACATTCTGAAGTTAGATCAGGTTAGATATATTAGGCTGCGTACATACATGGCGATAAATGCCCAAAATGCACGCGTAAGAATATTTAACTTTTAAGGTGCTTTTACATGGCAGCGTCAAGCATCTAGCGTCAGAGCACGAGCAGTAATATGTTTAATAATTTAAAATTGAATTTAATGTACAAGATACATTAATAGAATCTTATAGTTTACACTGTATAATGTAAATAAATATAAATTTTCAGCATTATATTGGGTCATCTAAAAAGTATCCGCGGTTTTTTGTCACTAGATGATGTTGATGGTCAACACCATCTAGTGACAAAAAACCGCGGATACTTTTTAGATGACCCAATATGTTAGGATAGTAGTGTATATCAGAACATAACCTCTCATAATTTACCATTTTGGGTATGATCAACACAATGTTGCAAACACTTTGAAGCGTTTTTTAATTGATCAGTTTGTAAAATTCTTTCTTCTAATTGGTCCATCAAACGCTTCAAAGCATTTGTAGCGAGACTTTGACTACAGCCTTTACATCAAGAAGCTATGCAGAAGATTATTGCGCAGGAGTTTAGAGATTCAAACTTCTGCGCAATAATGTTTTGCGCAGATGCTCGACGCTTGATGCTTGCATATAATGACACCTTTATGCTGGAGTCCTATGAAGGACTAATTGCCGCGCATTGCGTAACCGTGTAATCAATCAGCAATCAATAAAATCCGAAACCACAGCAACAGATTGCTTCTAATTGGTTATGTCGGCTATAGCGGCCCTATTCTTGAAAAATATCGCGTACAAAAAACTAGGGAAATGCTATAGTGTACATAACATATACTATAGTATTTAAATTTTATGTATGTGATATTTTTCAAGACTTAAGACCCAGACCAGAGCCTCTATTGTTGGGAAGTATCGCATACGAAAAACTAGATGCTTTCCATTTGATGCTTCTAGTATCCATAGAATACAGAGTTCGGCAAGTCCCTAAAAATGATAGACACATTTGCGCGTTTCTGCCGCATTTTTGCAACAAAAAGAGAGAAAATAAGTCTTGCACAGAAGCATATATAGTTATAAGAAGCATAAATACGAGGGCAAGTCAATAAGTTCTCTGAAAATCTGTCAGAAGGTACTCGCAGTGTCATGTCACATTACTTTTTGACAAATATTGGGTCATCTAAAAACCGCGGATACTTTTTAGATGACCCAATAGCATCATTCAGCTGATTACTGTCAAATTTTGAGCGAAATTCATCGCGTGGTTTCATTTCTGCAGACTATTAAAGCGAACAACCTTTGTATTTTTTGTAAAATGGAAAAAAAACGAGTTTCGTGCAGTGATCAAACATCTACATATGAAAGGTTTAACGCCGAAAGAAAGCAAAGCCGAGTTGAATAATGTTCATAGCACATCTGCACCAGCGTTTGCGACTGTATACAATTAGGTGAATGAATTTAAACGGTCGTACATCCACATATGATGCACCTCGTTCGGGAGATCCAATTGAGGCTGCTACGCCAAAAATCTTCGATAAAGTCCATGATATTGTTTTGACGAGTGAAAATGCGCGAGCTTGTTGAGGCTATAGGCATATCACATGGCACAGTGATCAATTTCAATTTTGTACGAACAATTGGGTATGAAAAAGCTATCGGCAAGATGGATGCCGCGTTTGCTCACTATGGACCATAAACGCGATCGTGTGACGATTTCAAAACAATGTTTGGAGATATTTCAACGTAATCCAGATGAATTTCTGCGTCGATTCATTACTGGACGAATCATGTATACATTACTTCACACCCGAGACGAAGAAACAGTCAAAACAATGGACTTCATCGAGTGAACCAGCTTCGAAGAAGGCGAAGACCGTGAAGTCGGCCAGAAAGGTGGTGAAGATGGCCACAGTTTTTTGGGATGCACGCGGTATAATTCATATCGATTACCTTCCGTTGAAGCAAATGATCAATTATTAGATCGCAGCCTTATTAGATCGTTTCAACAACATTTTAAAGAAAAAACGTCCTCCACTTGACGAAGAAGAAAATGTTCTTCCATCAAGACAATGTATGGGTTCACACGTATCCGGCACCGATGGCTAAATTCAACGAATTCCGCTACGAATTGCTTCCCCATCCAGCATATTCGCCAGATTTAGCCCCCTGCAACTATTTCCTGTTTCCTGAAAAAATAGTTCGGAGGAAAGAAATTCAACACCAGAGAACAGCTCGGAGAATCGCTGAAACAGATTTTGAAGAGTTGGACAAATCATATTATTTGGCTTGAAAAAGTTGAAGAATCGTTCGATCAAGTGTACCGAGCTGAAAGGAGACTATATTGAGAAATAAAAATGAATCGATCAAAAAAAATGTGTTCTACTATGTTTTTCTAAAAACTTATTGACTTGCCCTCAAAAGTAAAGAAAGCAAAGTACTATAGTATTGTAATAAATACAAAATTGTAATAAATACCGAAATTATATGGTGAGGAAAATATAAAATATGTATTCACATTTAAAAAAAAAATTAATGTGTTATAAATATAGGAAGTAGAATAGTAGCATAAATAGTAGTATTTATGAGTATAAATTAAAGTACTATGACAATTATTTTCTATATTTACAGGATACAATGCCATACAGTTGCGTAATAAAATGTTCCAATTCATGGAAGACAGGTAATACAATGCATTATCTTCCCAAAAATTGTGAAAGACTTGTGTGGTGATTGGTTCCGTCATTTTTAGATGATCTGACTTCTGATTCAATAAAAAGAGGTCTACGAGATCGCCGGACTTTGTATTTTAGGGATATTAGATGCATTGACATATAGAATGGACTATCGATGGCAGTGATGGAAGTAGAAAGACGAGTAGAGTGAGAAGAGATAGATGTAGAGAGAATCAAGGGAGAGTGCAGCGGATAGTGTTTCTCTCCTCTGATTGGTTCCGCCATTTATAGTGTAAGAAATAAGCATTTATGCGCGTTTGCAATTTTAGTTATACTGTAATTGCTCAGTTGGCAGCCATGAATTATCTTGTTTGAGTGACCCTCTTATGTGCTTAGTCTACAATCAGTCGGGAGACGTTGTTGTATGTCGTGCCGTAAGAAATTAATCAACCATGGTCGATTATTTCTTTCCATGCGACAGCCGACAATCGAATACGCATGCGTTCGACATCCGACGCCAACATATTGTATGACGTATTGTAGAACAGGTCTTACACCGTGATACGTTATTGGCTTTCTCCTATAGCCAGCGTCCTATTGGTTGTTCGTCTGTGACACCTAGTCTAAGCATGAGAAGGGGGAAACGAGTATCTCACTAAAATTGTTATTGTTATCCGAGCCACCCAAGTAAGAAGACGCATAACGGGAATACAGTAGTGTTCTCTAAAGCTCGTGTTGTTGTTGTGCATCTCGTGCAATGCTGTAATCCGTCCTAATCCGGTTTCTGACAAATGCTACAATATATCCTTGAGTGTTTGATCCCTTCCCGTTCCCTCTCACAGGTTTTGTCGTCCCGTCGCCATATCGGCACGTTCGTGAGGATGGATTCCCGCCATTAATCTTATCCTCTTTTACCCTCTTCTTCCTACCATTATAGCTTTCTGTATAATTTATGGCTTTTGCACGCGGAACGCGGCAACGCTTGCAGTGCAGCGGAAATTGCCAATCAACATCTCGCTTACTCGGAAGTAATAGATATATAATTTCCACCGCGCGACAAAAGTTGAACTTAATCCAACTTTTGCCGCGCGGCGAAGTATTGGGTCATCTAAAAAATATCCGCGGTTTTTTGTCACTAGATGTGTGTTGATGGTCATATAGTGACAAAGTACCGCGGATACTTTTTAGATGACCCAATATTACATCATTTCTAGAAGTTTTGCAAAGTGGGGCCGACAACATAGAATTATAGGCTAGTGCAACAATTTCCGCAACGCAGCAAGCATTATCGCATTCTGTGTGCAGGAGCCATTAGGGTGCCGTCCCATAGAGCGGAAATTGGCAACCAAACGGAACTCGCGAAATCAACACTACAAATCACAGCTTATTTTTTTCTTAATCCTTTAATGCTTTTCCTAAATCCTTTATGTCCCATTAAGCGGAATAAACGGAACACGCGGAATAATATATTGGGTCATCTAAAAAGTGTCCGCGGTTTTTTGTCACTAGATGTGTGTTGATAGTCATATATCTAGTGACAAAGTACCGCGGATACTTTTTAGATGACCCAATAAAATTATATATTTTTTATGTTATTTACAATACTTGTAATAATAAAAATATTATTTTAATGTAAATATAACAATGTATATAACAAACTAATAAACACTAGAACTTCTTTAGCAATAAAATATTATCAACATAATCATAAACTAACTATCTCATGATTGATTTGATTCCATTTACCGCTCAATGGGACATAAGAAAAAGAAAATAAATGGAATCGTAGACTGCTGATTAATATTTACATTCATATTTACTGTAATTATCGAATCATTAGTAATATTCTGCTATTGTGTCCATATTAATGAAGAAAACAAAAAATAGAATGTAACCAATGTATTGGGTCATCTAAAAAGTATCCGCGGTTTTTTGTCACTAGATGGTGTTGACCATCAACACCATCTAGTGACAAAAACCGCGGATACTTTTTAAATGACCGAATATGTAATATACATCGGCATATAATATTAAAGTTATGAGCAACTTTCTTCATTCATTCATTCATGAACTTCGTTCATTCCGCAAATTATAATGGTGAAATTATAGCGAAAATAGCAGAACAACTGTGATTCGTCGTGTTGATTCTGCGAGATCCGTTCCGTTGTCAATTTCCGCACTATGGGACGGCACCGGCAAGAATGGTGTCCCTTAGCGTTCGGCGCGCGGCATTACATTATATCATATTTTTTTTATTTATTTTATTATATGTCCTTATATTTAACTGTAAATTTAATTTTGCAATCTTGCGATATAAAATATTCATTTACACACTGCAAATTTATAAATGCATGCAAAGCTATTACAAGGAGTCTTAAAATTACACGTAATGTTGT